TAACGTTTCATTACTAGATAGAGAATACTTCATATTTTCTAGAAAAATTCCTCTGCACAGCGGTAGGGAAATGCAATGCCGGTTGGGGCATTATTGGGGGCTTCTGGCCTGCCTTTCTTTGCCAATAGGACTAGGTCAAGATATGCTGCTTTCCTTTTGTAAAATGCACTGTTTTGGGAATTGATGTTCACATCACCTTTTCATGATTTTGCTGGGAAGTTGAGGCACCAAGTGAGCTCATGAGTGATTACAGGAGGACATGTATGAGTATCATGGGTTAGGCCTAGATGAGATTGGCTCTTCAGTTCCTATTTGGCCATCATTCTGGTGACCTCAACATCCAGGTGTGTTGGGTTATAGTTCCCATAAACCTATCACTGGAGTCTATAGGGAATTGTGATCCCACAGTGGTTTGGACAGATCACCTTCAGAAAATGCTGCTTCTCTGCCTCTTGATTTTATCTGTTGTGTGAATAGAAGCTTCATAATCAAGCTAATACCTGGATGAAGTCAGTTGGCTGTTCGATTGGTAGAAATGTGATGTTTGTGTTTCTGAGAATATCCTCTTGTCCATGAAGCTTCCTGCCCTCTCAGCATACCTGAGAGGGGTGTGTGTCTATGACTTCATGCCACAATGCATAATGAGATGGTTATAACAGAAGATGATTTAATCTTCTGTTAACTCTGCCCAAAACCCTTTGCCGAGTCAGTTATTTGGAAATTATTCCACGTCAGTGCTGTTTATGTGAGCGTATGGCTCAGCCTGATTATGGTTTCTGGTGGTGGTGGTTTTCATCTATATTTGTCTGGAATGGACTGTATGTGTAGGCAACCCCATTAATTTCATAAGTTTTTTTAATGCAAGGAATACTTAGAGGTGCTTTTGAATGCTCCTTCCTCTGAAATGTGGACAACACTATCTGATAGTTTTAGCTTCTAAGTCCAGGTAGAATCTGGTTTATTGAGGCCACCCTTGAGACAATCTAGAGAGAGAAATTCTGGCTGAACAAACGTGCTAGTATGCCTGTTATAGTGACCACAGAATATGAAGGGATTCACCCCATGTCGCTAGCTATGATCCACTGTCAGCAGTTCACTGCGTATTAAGATGTAGGTAGGCTTTCTGGGATGGTGGGGGGTGGCAATATCAGGACACTTTTAGGAACAGGCCTGATACTCCATTCCTGGCTTTGAGTTAGTAACACTACAGGAGGGAAGTGGTACACAGCATGCAAGGGTACCTAAATATTGGTTGCTTTACTGAAATGGATGGAGAGTACATAGGGAAGAGATGTTGCTTTTTGCTCTGACTCAGGCATCCTGAAACTGCGGCCCTCCAGCTGTTTGGAGCTTCAACTCCCAGAATTCCTGACAATTGAAGAAGCTAGTTAGGATTAACACACACCAGGCTTAGTTGCCCAAATTACTATTTCATGAGTGAAATAATGGGTTGGTTGACTTAGGACCTTGTCAGATGGAGATCCAGAAGGCAGGGGACAGTGGGTGAAACCGTGGGGCAGTGCCCAGCTTCATCCCCTTGACATGTTTGGTCATGGGTTGCCATCCCATGATGATTCCGAGTTCTCTCTGGCTTCCTCCCGCGCTTCTTCTATGAAGATATGGGTAATCACCTGAATGTTTCTTTTAGTACGCTGCCAGGACAGAGCCAGGACAGAGCTCAATGGAGCCCTGCTGGAAGTACCCTACATGATATGATGGGCTTTGGCAGACTCCATCCTGGCTCCATTCAGGCAGCGTGCTAAGAAAAGAAAAAATAAACCATCTGATGAGGTTTTTACTATTGTGGTGATTCAAGGAGAAGTGCATATATGGTGCAGTGAGGTGAGGGACCCTATTCTCTAGAACTTGTGACAAAATTATTGGTTACTTATTATAGGTGTTAAATGCAGGTTAATACAGTCAGTCCCCAAGTTACAAATGCCTGATTTCCATAGGAAGTGAAATTCAGTACTGTAAGAATTATCATGTGGAAAAGGTGTCTCTACTGAAGCTTTATCACCATTCCTTGTTTCCACAACAAGCCCTCTCTCTCCCTCCCTCCCTCTCTCCCTCTCTCTCTCTCTATATATATATATTTCTACTCCTCCAGCATTATAATTTCAAGCAAGATGCTTTAAACAAAAAACCTCTAAACAAAAATTCCCTCGAAAATGTCTATAAAAAGTCATCCCATTCAGAGAAATGGCTTTCATTATACAAAATAAATACAAAATCTTTCCATCCCCATTTTGGCACCCTTTCCCACCTATAATTTGAGATCCCAACAGCACTATTAGATCTTTACTGGGATCGCGTCAGTTGGTAACCAATAAACCCAGCTTTGTGTATTTGTATTTCCTTTATGTTACCAGAAACTCTAGCTGTAACATTGCTGAATCCTGCCTAGAAATAATCTGTAACAGACATTCCATCTCTTCCCTTGGTGGGTCTGAAGGAGTGTGGTTAATGGTTGTTACAGCTATCGATGTTTTAATAAACTAGGATCTGTGAATGTTTAAAATGTAGTCATTCCAGTAGAGCAGCTGGGTTAATCTATAGCAGCAAAATGACTGTAAGCTTTAGCATCTTTCTCAAATTATTGGGTTTTGCAGCTTGAATGTGCTCAGGCAAAAGCCTGTTTTATTGTTTACAGTACTTGGAACAAATAGAGAGTATGTTTGCTAGCTGACAGGTTTTAAAAACCAGTATGCCTAGAAGCCCTTTAGAAGTCTATCGTTATTCTTTTTGTTGCAAAAATGGAGGGTCAGCAATTCTACTCCCCAGGTGCTTTTGGCCTACAACTCCCACAATCCTTTGACATTGGCTAGGCTCGCTGGGTTTTTTTAGAGTTAATATCTGAATGTAATCTATTGGTAATCCTCTAGCCAGTGGAGACAGGGCTGAGCACAACTGTTTGACTAAGGGTTAAGTCTAGCTCTCTCTTAACTCTGCTAAAAGGGGAGGGTAAATGAAGAGGCACTTGTGCAAAGTGATTTGCTATCAGCTGTTTAACGCCTTCAGAGCAGTATTCTGAGAATCTTGGCTTGCCCCCAGGCTTAATCTGATCAAATGTGCTGACTCTTGTTGGCATGACTGTTGATAATCTCACATTTATTACTTCTACTTTGCTTTTGGCAAAGGCTGTTGTATGCACTCACATGGCACTGATATGAAAGATGGGCTTGTAAACAAATAGAAAACAAACTTAACGAGGAGTCCCAAATTCCTACAGCTCTGTCCACTTTTTCACTCTAGGCCTATATTAGCAATTAGTAAACTGAAAGGGAGGCAAGATCCAGCTTTTGTAGAGTTTTCCAGTCTGATGGACTCAATGTGATTCAATACTTGCATGCAGTAAAACAAGTGTTGACTTGTATGTCTGTATTAAGAACATAGGCTAAACACAAGCCAATTTTCTTGTCTCCCACGCACCTTCAAGATCCTATGAAATAGAGTTCTATTGGAAAACTCACGATCATTGATGTTTCAGACCACCATAGAAGTACAGCTCTTAGAGTTCGTAAGAAGTGATGATAGGTAATCAAATAAAAAAATGGCAGGGGCTTTTTAATAGAGGAGAGGAACATCCAGGCTAGCGATTCCCTAGGTGTTTTGGACTTCAGTTCCCAGGAGCTTCTGCTGCCTTGGACAGTAATCGGGGATTTTGGGAGCTGAGGTCCAAAATACCTGGAAGACCAGAGTTTGGGAAACACTGACTGAGATTGTAAAAGGTTTGCAGGAAACTCCCTGCATGCAGTGCCGTCTCCCAGATTAGATCAGAAATAGTAGGGAATTCAATGTATTGTCAAAGGCTTTCATGGCTGGAATCACTGGGTTGTTGTGAGTTTTCTGGGCAGTATGGCCATGATCCAGAAGCATTCTTTCCTGACATTTCCCCTACATTTATGGCAGGCATCCTCAAGAGGTTGTGAGGTCTGTTGGAAAATTGTGTTTATATATCTGTGGAATGTCCAGGGTGGGAGAAAGAACTCTTGTCTGTTTGAGGCAGGTGTGAATGATTTAATTGGCCATCTAGATTAGCATTTAAGCCCAGAAAACTCAAAACAACCCAGTAGAGAATACATTTCTAGATCTCAGGTGGTGCAAATCATGGGCTGCTGGTACCTGCCAGGCTGCAATGAAATTGTTGTAGCAAATGGACATAAATATGGTGCGGGCATATTGGGGAGAAAACTCTGTTGGAAGAAGAAAGCTAGTTTAACTCTCAGGGCTCCATAGCTAGACCCTACCCACCCCAAACTACAGTATCACTGATGCCTTCAAATCTTTTATTAGTGAAGTGAAACAAGTATGATTCCTCCATGCCTATTTCAGTGCCTTCAAATCAAAGCACCTTCAGTAGAAGATGCAGGTTCTTGCATTGTACTTGTCAAGCTATTGCTCCTTAAATCAGCGTTTCTTAAGCTAACTGAAGTCACAGATCACTAGGTTTTATTATTATACCATATAAACAAACGGCACAGACTTGCTCAGGTAGGGCTTGATATATATGTAGGAATGCCTTGTGACCTGGTTGGCTGTTCTTGTAAACAAAACATTGGACTAGAGTCTAGTTGCTAGGTGGACACTTCATCTGAACGTTTACATAATATGTTTTCCATCTGTGGTTTTGTGTAAATCAAACATTTTGGCAAATGGGCATTTATTCTTCATTCCATACTTTCTCCCCCGCCCCATCTCTTCAAATATCAAAAGAGGTTTCTGCAAAATCTTATGAAAAAATGATTGCTGTAAATAGTATCTGAGATAGCTCTTATAAAATGAGTACCATTCAAATCTCAAGTGATGATTCTCATGTGTGAACGTAATATGCAGAGTGGGAAGAAAGCTGGGCTATTCTCATTGGGTGGGAAATTGCTTCTAAACATGTTTAGAAGTTGCCCAATCCAGAAACAGGATTAATAGATACCCCGTTTTCCTTTTGAGAGCAAGGAATAATCCACACTTTCTGATTTTTTCTTTGTTTGTTTTTTGTCCAGCGTTCTGATACCAGACTGTTGTCACAGTTTTTCTATGCTGATGAACGAGTGACTCAAGTAGTGACAGAAATCAACTGCCTGGATGTCGAGACAGATCCTCAACAATACTTAGCACTGCTAAACCAGTTGCACCTTAGTCAGGTAATGCATATGAAATGAATGTAGTTGTAAACTGCTGATAAAACAGGAGGAAATGATACAATTATAAATGGCAGCCTTGGCAGGTTGGAGTAGGTGTTCTTTGCCTCAAATAAAAGGTTTCTATTGTGGATAGTGGTTTTGTTTCTTATTACTACATATCCTGTACCTTAAATTCCATCAACACACACATTACTTAAGGAAAGTTGATCTCATTGTACCTTTAGACTGAGTTTCATTCCAGGCTCTAGCTGATATTGATTAATAAAGTAAATATATTTTATTTCCTATCTTGATCCTTGCCAAACTGCCAAAATATGGCATCTCCTCACATCTCTATACAACACACTGTATTTTTTAATTATTATGCCTCTTTGTTGTGTAAGTTGGCTTCGAACCTTCCTTTACAAAGGATAAAGTGCAAAGTATAGAGAAGTCCTAAAGAAGAAATAAAGGAACTGACTTTGCTACTCCATTCTAGTTTTGGGTGAGATGTTTTGTTAAGTAGATGCCAGAAACTTGATCTGCCCTTCAGTACTGTTCTGGGAAGAAATAATCTCCTGCTTTGGGGTATCTGAATCATTGGGTATCACTGGCATGGTCTTGCGGATAATAATGTGTCTTTCCATTTTACCAGGCTGAACTGCTGTCCATTATAGAACAGATTATGGATGAGTGCATCCCCACAGAACGTCATGGCCGTGACTATGTCATTAAATTCCCTGAAGATCTTTTGGTAGACAACCTCCGGAATCACATGCTGTTTGCTGCTGAGGTGAGCCCTGGAGTGGATGAATTTGATCCTTTGTATTCATAATCAAGTAGCACTCAAATGATTATAGGGTCAATTTGGAGGTCTCTCATTCATGTGGTCATTGTAACTCCAAGTCAGCTTGACATGCAGAATAATCACAGGACGTCTTAAACCTCCACCTGTTGATAAACTCTACAAGCTAGCTGGCATTGCTCCCCCTCCCCCCAATGTGCGACGTGAATTTGCTGCTAAATGTGAGAGAAATAAGGTTGAACACTGTGAAAGCCACCCACTACATGGCTACCAGTCTCCTCCCAGCAGACTCAAATCAAGGAAAAGCTTTATGAGGACTACCACACCTCTTGGTGTGTCCCCAGCAACAGCCAGGGTATCCCTCTGGGCAGCTAAACCAGAAAATCCCAATTAGATGGCTCCCCCACAAAGGTCTTCCTCCAGGGGCAAACCAAGAATGGGCAATTTGGAAGTCCCTGAACAGACTCAGAAGTGGAGTGGGCAGATCAAAAGACAACCTGGCAAAATGGCACTACCTAAAAGAATCACAGAATCCCACACTTTGTGTGACTGTGGAGCAATATAGACAACTCCGCTTCTGTATGCTGGTCCACTATGGCCTGCCTCATGTACGGAGGAAGAATTGGAGGCTACAGACAATGCCATTACTGTTGCCTGTTTTTGGTCAAAAGATATTTCGCCGCCTGCACTCCTTCTATTTTTATGAGTTTTATACTAATTTAGGCAATGTTTTTGATACGAAATAAAATTAAGCAGTTATGAACAACAAACACAAATGTGAAGTGCTGAATTGATGCTATATCTAATGCTTGGTGCCACGATCTCTCCCTTTCTGCTCATCCATAAATCATCACCGCAGTTTCTTATACCAGATTCCACTTGAGCAGATATGACTTAATCTTTAGGGAGTGTTGCTTTACTGGGATGAAATCTGAGACTGTTCCTGGAATTTCCCTTCAGCAATTGGATGGAACACTCATCCTGGCTCTGAAATAAATGTATTATATTGCAGGAAGCTGAAAAACAGGCAGTATTTCTGAGCTGTCAGTATTATTTCCTTTCAGTGTCTGATGGCACACACCTATATTGATGTGGATGAGGCAGATGGAGTACGATTACGACCCCTAGCCAAAGATCTCCTGTGCAGCTTAGAGTTGGTGCGGGTGGTCCTTCGGGAACAAAGTCTGAACCAACCAGGACCTTATTCAGAGCCTATCCGGAGGGCACTGGTTCGCTTCGATATGCTCTTTGCTGAGTTTGAGCTAAGGTAGGCTCCCTCACTATTGATCATTTCCCCCTGTTTTAGTTCCTGGATTTTCTCTGTCAAATGAAATAGGTCTCTGATCTGATCTAGTAGAGTTGCTGAGTTCTAGTTCTTTAGTGCCCCATTCAAAGAAGTGGAAACAAGATAGTAAGCTGGTCAGAAATCTATATACAGAGGTCTAAAAATTCTAAGTTCTGCTGAAATTTTCATATAAACAGACAGATGCTGAATGCCATGTTGGCTGGGATCCATCCTGGACAAATATATATATATATATCTAGCTGCAAAGGAACCCAGAAGAAGTGGGGGTTGTGGAAATGTTTGTATGCTAAGCAGGTACTGGCAGTGGTAGCATTCAGTTCCATGCTGTTTAACATATACATGAAATCAGTAGGAGGGGTCAGCTGGAATTTTGGAGTACGGTGACACCTATATGTTGATAACAACCAACTCTACTACTCCTTTCCACCTAAAGCCAAGGAAGCTATCCTGACCCCAAACCAGTGCCTGTCGTCAGTAATGGACTGGATGAGGGAGGGAAGAAACTTAATCCAGACAAGACAGAGGTACTCCTGGTCAGTTGGAAGGCAGACCAGGGAATAAGGATTCAGACTGTGCTGGATGGGGTTACGCTCCCCCTGAAGACATAGATTTGCAGTTTGTCGGTCCTCCTGGACTCAGCGCTGAACTGGAGGCTGACTGCATCCCCTTGTATGAACCTGCCTGGGCCCTGAGATTTTCAGGAGTGGCCCTTCTCTCAGTCCCTTCTCCATCTGGAACTCAGTTGGTGGGAAAGAGAGAGTGGACCTTCCTTCTGAGTGGCTGCTCCATTGACTAGGGAAATCAGGATGGCCCTCTCCCTACTGTCCTTCTGGCAGCAGGCTAAAACCCTTGTATTCAGACAGTCTTTTAAAGATGAAGGTGTTTAAGATCAATTAAGGAGATGCTGTGGTTTTTAACCTTGAATGTGTTTTAATGGTTTTTAACTGGGGAATTTTTAAATACTGGTTATATTTAATCCTGTTTTAATGTTCGTATATTTTAAAATTGTTATGCTAATGCTTTTATGTTAAGCCGCTTTGAGTCCCCTTCAGGGGAGATAAAGCAGAGTATTATAATAATAATAATAATAATAATAATAATAATAATAATAATAATAATTTTTCCTTTCCAGCTACGTTTCATCTTTAGTCTCAGTGAAATCGCCTGAAGAGATCTATAGGCAGCAGGAGATCGTTGTGCTCTTTTGCGAAACTGTGGCCAGGTGAGGGTTTGGGCACTTCCTGTGATTTGGACAAACACAGTCTTCTTCTGTAACGCAATGAGCCTACATATTATGAAACAAAATTGATTACCTTTTGAGATGGAAATTTTATGTCTAACTTATATCCAGGGTGATTAGTTGCCTGGATGGTGGGGGTGTGGTTTGAAAGCTGCCCTTATGTATAGTATTAAGTTTTCTACTTTCTCTCCTATCCTCCCTCCGTTCCCCACTTAGAGCTTTAAAACTTGGTCATTTGACTCAGGATATGATTGATGGATATGAACCACAGCTGATGTTCACCATTCCTCGCCTGGCCATCATTAGGTAATGTGGGTTCATTTTTCTTCTGCTTTTAACAGTCACCTTATGATTGCGTGTAGATCTTTACTGCAGTATTGAGCCCCATAGGCCCAAATGCCTGAATTTCAACTCTATTTGTCAAAGAAAGCGGGACAAGCATATATTCTATACATAGTTATGGTAAGACAGTAACAGAATGATATGGCAATATGGTTAGAATGACATTGGCATATCACATGGTATAAATTAGAACTCAATGTGATATACAGGCCACTTTCAGCCCCTCCCACTAGTGTCAGATTTGCACTAGCCCTTCATAATCATATTTTTACTTTGACACAAGGCACACTCCGTGTACCTTGTGTTCTTTGAGATGCACAGCTTTTCTTGAAAATGGTATCCTTCCTCTGAGATGGGATGTGGTGCCCTTCTCCACATTTTGTGATGCAGTAGTAGTAGGATATAGATTGTGGGGACACTTTATTCCTCCACTGCTTGAAGTGGCCTACACTTGGGTTAAATTTAGTTTCTGCTACTGCTTCAGTTTTTGCCGTGTTGACATGATTCATAATATGTTGCAACAGTGCATTATAATGTATGGAAAGCCTTTCTAATGTGTGGAAACTCCTTTTCCAAGTGACCATTCTTGGAAGAGGCTGCTGGTGATTAACAATTGTATAGTATGTCTTTTGTGTTCTTTACCTTGCATGGGAGGCCAGCCCAGGCATCCAGTTATTTTCAGGTGACATTTCCCATCATGACTTGACTTGCCACATTCCAGTCATAGTGATTTTTCAAAAGACTTTGCCCTTGTCTTGCAAGAAGGGGCTATGCTACTTCAGCATAGCATTTCTGGCAGGTTATGTACATTATTTCTATATGTGACTTCTGATTTGGATGGGTTTAAACACAGAATACAGGCCAAAGAAAGAGAAGTTGTATCATGATTGAATTAGGTGGCTATATAAAAGATGGAGCAGACTATTAAGTGTGACTAAAGTTGTTGTTGTGTTGGACAAATAGTTTTTAAAGAGCTCAGCACTGATGTTTGTGGTTTGGCACTGATGTGTTGTTTAGAGAGACTTTGTAATAAGTTGGTCTACTATTCACCCCCATTTAATTTTTGGTGACTTTTGAACTATTTTTTTTAAAAAAAAACATGGAGTAGCCCCATTATCTTCTTTCTTTCTTCTACCCAGTGGTCTACTGATTTATCCAGATGGACCCCTCAACTTGGAGAGGAGGCCTGAGGAGATATCTAGAGTGTTCAGTCCGTTTTATGTCTTGCTTAGAAAAATCAGGTGAGTGACTCAACAGGGCAACCTAGCTAGAACATTACCAAAACAGGTCGGGCTTGTCTCTTTTTTTTAGAAGGGGAAACACTTTGTACCAAACTGCACATTCTATACAAAACACACGGCACTGACTCACTTTTTTACAATTCTCCAAAAACGGAAGGGTTTTTTAAAAATAAAATTATATTTATTACTATATATAGTTTTATATCTTAACCAATAACAAAGACTCTTGAAGGAGCACACAAATAAGGTTGTGGATAATGTGTATAGATATTTACAAGGTTTCAGTCTGAATGCCTCCACATATTATAAAATGTCCTGAATGTAGTAATTGATCACATTGGACAAAGAACTCTGGCCTAGCTATTCTTTCTAATTGCACTAGTTTAATAAATACATGAGGATACCTTAAAAATGCACTTCCTGACAACTTGTGATCTGAATGATGCAATCCTAGAAGTATTTTACTGCATGATGTTGTTGACGAGATTTCATCAGCCCTGAATCAAATGTTTAAGATGGGAGGTAGAGACTCAGTAAAGGTGGCACTTCCTTGCAGACAGATATGAAGTTATCAGAGGATGAGGCAGAATAACGAGAGTTTAGAACTGCTCTTCTTTCAGGGCTCTGTGCAAACTGAGTTGCTCATCCTCTTCCTTTGCTGTGTTTTCCTAGATGCCTCCTTTATAAGCCTTTTCAATTACAGGGAACTGCTGCGTGTTCTGTCTAAGGAAGAACTCTACAAGCTGGAGAAACGAGTGCTGAATGAGAATGCTGCAGATTCACAGCCCTTCAGTGACAAAGACTCTCATGACTCCAGAGATCTTTCAACTCGACACAGTTGCCCACCTGCCCCAAGGTGTGACCAAAAACCTTTACTCCTTCCACTCATTCCAATGAGTTTTTTTCTGCTCTTAACTGAATGTAATTCTTGGTTGGCTACTTGAATACTAGGAGTAGAGAAGATGTGGGTTCCCACCCAGGATACATTACACTTCTGTCCCCAAAATGTGAAAGTATTGGCAACAATGAAGCTGTCTCAGGTAGTATCAAATGATCAAAGCCCTACACGGTTCCGGCCCCACTTACCTCTCCGAACGCATCTCCACCTACGAACCGGCGAGGTTGTTAAGATCGTCCGGGGAGGCCCTGCTCTCGGTCCCRCCAGCRTCACAAGTGCGGCTGGYGGGGACRAGRGACAGGGCCTTCTYGGTGGTGGCCCCCCRRCYATGGAATGCCCTASCAGCGGACATCAGGCAGGCCCCTTCRYTATTGGCRTTTAGGAGGAGGGTTAAGACGTGGCTCTTYGAACAGGCGTTCGGATAAGTATGCAATAACATCTRACTCARGAATGACGGCATATTGAACAAGGAATGATAATACGACTGTGAGAACAGGATCTGATTCTAATTAGGCGYGATGATTTTATGTGTATTGTCTGYGTATGTCTGTCATATAGATTGTTTAGTGTGGCACATTTTATTGTAAACCGCTTTGAGTCGCCTTTTCAGGCTGATATATGCGGTATACAAAAGAAGTAAATAAATAAATAAATAAATAATAAACCGGAGGTTAACTAGCTAGAAGTGTTTCTGTCATATGCTGTCAGCTTGTGGTTTTCAGTATTCTTAACTACTTTCTAGCTTGATGGGAATAAAGGCAACCAGACAGAATTTCTGAACAGCCATACTTCTCTCAGTATTTTAGAATTTTGTAGCACTGTCTCTGAAAGGTGGAGGCAGGCATTTTGTCTGGCCCTGAGCTGATACAGGGGACACATGCATCTTCAGTGTCAAAGAATGGCCTTCCTTTTGAAGTTCATTAACTTGCACAAAGAAATCTAGGACAGATTGTGGTTTCTTCACTCTTGTTCTGTGAAAGGGATAGAAGGTAGAATAAGTTTTCTAACTGCTTGTTGTTCTTCTGACAGGCATCTTGGGCAAGAGGCTACTAACATCATAGGACCTCCACAGAGTACCCGGAGGATGGAGCTGCGAGCCCGCTACAGCAATACAGAGGATATGATTCACACGCTATTTGTCTGCATCTCTGGTGAGTCCAACACCTTTTTTTGCCAAGGGGAATAATCTGGGTTTTTACATTATCTATATTTCACAGTGCTCTTGGGGTTGTGACTTGCACTTAGGTTTTTTGGTTGCAAAGGGAGCTTAAACAGGCAGACCGTCATTTGCAATCCTCCAATATGGACTAACCAGATGAGTGATGAAGTGCTGCTTATTAAAACAAAACATGTTCAGAACATACGAGATGTGGTGGCTCTCTTTTCATCAGAATTTGGGAAACAAGCAGATAATGTTTCTAGCAAGAAGATGAAAAATGATATTAATTTCCCCAAAGAAGCTGGGAAGTGTCTTGCTACACCAGCTCCACTAGCTGCCTATTAGCTTCTGAGCACAATTCAAAGTGCTGGCTTTGGCCTATAAAGCCCTTAACGGTTCTGGCCCAGTTTACCTGTCCGAACGTATCTCCTGCTACGAGCCATCTAGGACCTTAAGATCGTCAGGGGAGGCCCTGCTCTCAATCCCCCCACCATCACAATCACTCTTGGGGATGAGAGACAGGGCCTTCTCCATGGTGGTCCCTTGGCTATGAGATTCCTTCCCAAACAAAATCAGATCCGCTCCATCTCTCTTGTCCTTCCGAAAAAAGTGAAATCCTGGCTGTGGGATCAGACCTTTGCGGACTAGACTGACTTGCTGGCAAAGTTATGGTTTTAATGGACTATGGTGGACTGCTTTTAGGGTTACGACTGGATTCGGCGTTTTATATTGTTTTATACTGTTTTTATTATATTATGTATATTTATGCTTTTCTTATTGTGGGCACTATGCTGTGTTGGTTGTTATCTGCCCTGAGTCCCTCTGTGGAGGTGAGATAGGACAGGATATAAATGCACTAAATAAATAAATAAATAAATAAATAAATAAATAAAGTTGACCCTGATTAGAAACAGTAACAAGAGATTTGGGAAGCCACTCAGGATGAAATAATCTTTTATAGGGTAGGGGGCCTATGCCATAGGTGTAGAAGAACTTTACTTTAAAATAGAACTAACTGAATCGGTCCGTGGTACTTGTTGTTTGTTGTTTTGCACTCTGATGAAATCCTCTGTAGCTCAGAAGATTGCAACCATTTGCATAGTAAATAATGAGGGAGTAGTAACAATTATATTCATGCTCACACATTTGCAAATGGCTCTAACTTAGCTTTAAAATAAAAACAAAAGCATTTTTGTACTGTACTACAGTGCCAGCAGTTGAGCCTAATAAGCCATTTGATTGCATTGGTTGGAAATATTTGGTGAAAATAGTTTGCTAGCTGGTTGAGAATGCAAATGGAAAGAATTCATTGTTCAGCACTCACAATGGGCTGTGTTGTGAGTGTTATGTTTGTTGATTGAGATCTGTGATCATCAATGTGTCATTGATATAACTGAACTCAGCTGAGCTGGTGTTTTGTATATGGACAGGAGTGGCAGACCAGCTCCAGACCAACTTTGCAAGCGACCTGCGTGCCATTCTGAAGAGTGTGTTCAAAATTGTGACCTCCCGGACAGAGGAACTGGTGGTGACAGACACTGGCCGTGAGTAAATCTCCTCAAGTTATATGTAGTTTCATAGTCCTTTTCTTTAGTGCTTGCAAGCAAAGCAAGATGAAAAACCAAGGGCTAGGGACGATAAGAGCACAAAGTGCTCCCGTATTGAAACTGCTGTTATCTCGGTGAGATAGCTTAAGCTATGGTGCTGTAATGATTACAGCAACCACATGTATTTTCCAACACTTTTGGCAACGTTGTGAGATTATAGAATGCTTCTCCTATAATGGGTGGGAAGTTTGTGGACCTCCAGATGTTTTCCAGTGTAAATTCCCAACATCTGTACTATTGTCTGTGTTGGCTAGGAATGACAGGAATTGCAGTCCAACAAGATCTGGCAGGCCACACGTTGCCTGCCTCTGCAATTGCTGCCTTCTCTTTCTGCTTTCTCTTTGTTGGTTAAAAACATTCTTGTCCTGGCAAGCTTCTGCACTGAAGGTTGGGATGATGTGGTTTTGTATCCCAATTCCTCTCTGTGGCTTTTTATATGCTGAGCCTGGTTTTATATCATTGTTCAGGTGTAGCATTTTGTTGTTCTGAGCCAGGCAGAACAAAGAAAATGAATTTGAAGAGAGGAATATAAATCTCAGAGTGGATGCCTAGCTATTTCTCATTACAATACCTATTTCAGTTTGTTTACAGTACTTTTTGTGATTTTTTTTGGTGTGTCAGGGGCGACTTGAGAAACAGAAACTTTTTGTGATGAAAATCGGTTTGATGGTGGCTGATGCACATGCACACATGCATACACATATCACAGTTTTAAAACTATCTGAACACAATTAAATAAACAGCAATAAAATAGTTTTATAAAAGCATATCCACAGCAGCAAACTAAACACATTACCAGGGTTCCAATTTAAAAATGCCTGTCTAAATAAAGCAATCTAAGTTAAGCAAGTTATTCCTAAGAGTTGCTACTCCTTTCTGGTTTTAAATAATAAATCCACTGACTCAGTTTGAACCCCAAACTGGAACCTGATAAAGGGAGATGTTGACAAGTTGGACTGTGTCCAGAGGAGGGCGACTAAAATAATCAAGGGTCTGGAGAACAAACTCTTTGAGGAGTGGCTTAAAGAGCTGGACATATTTAGCCTGAAGAAGAGAAGACTGAGAGGAGACATGATGGCCATGTATAAATATGTGAGGGGAAGTCATAGGGAGGAGGGAGAAAGTGTGTTTTCTGCTGCCCTGGAGACTAGGACGTGGAATGATGCCTTCAAACTACTGGAAAGGAGATTCCACGTGAACCTTAGGAAGAACTCCCTAACTGTGAGAGCTGTTCAGCAGTGGAACTCTCAGCCCCAGAGTGTGGTGGAGCTCTTTCTTTGGAGGCTTTTAAACAGAGGCTGGATGCTTTGATTGCCATTTTCTTGCTTCTTGGCAGGGGATTGGATTAGATGGCCCACAAGGGCTCTTCCAACTCTATGATTCTAAGTGATGGGAGAGAATTGGCTTGGTATGAGTTATCCTGCCAACCATGCTACTTCATGGGGGTAATTAACTCTGTACAGTAAAAATGAGATGTATGAACTGGCCCAGGAAAGCTTATTGCTCTTCTCCATTGGTTGCATGATGACACAGCACAATTGGCCCTAGAAGGGAGTTTCAGAATAATAGGATCATTCCAGACAACAGTTTTATTGTGCAATTGCCCTGTCTTGTTTACAGAATTTTATGGAAGTCTAGATAATGGCATCTTCTATCACAAACCTTCTTCTGCTTTCTCTTCCTTCTTCCATTTTTTGTTAAGCAAAAAAAATCTGTTAAGAAGATGGAAAATTTACAGATCATCTTTATAATTGTCTATTTAGAAGTCTGCTAGTTTTCTTGGTGTCTAAGTCAAGGTGCCGTTAACATTTCTACTATTGAAAGCACATTTCAGTGGTTGTAACTGGGTTTGCTTGATTCAGTTTTCTTCCACTTTGTTTTTTGGATGTCCCGTAACAGGCATGCTAGCAACAATGAACATAGGAAAAATTTTCTCAGTTGATCACATGCCTGAAGTGATCCATGCAAATTTCTTCTCTTGTTCTATGAGATTTTATCTCTTTCTGTCCCCCACTTTCAAAGCAGACAAAATCTGACCTCTCAGGACTGTTTTTGTGGCCTTCAAGATTCCCCAGGGCTGCCTTTTTTCTGACAACAGCAATGACAATAATGAATTGCCCTTCCTGGGAGACTCCTTGATCACAAATCACATTCTAAGTAAATGGCAAGACATCTCTCCTTCCTGCTGCATTCTTGAACTATTTAAAAATGTTGTTTTTTTCAAAATAAGTGGATTTCTGGCTATTGATCGATTTGTTCCTTCACCAGCATTTTTTTTTCTTTTTGCATTTTCTGATGGTGGCCTCCTCAGAGCATCACAGAAGCAGAAAATTCCCCTTAGCTTAATACCTACAAAAGTTCCCCATCACGTTTTTGGCTAACGTACCCACTTTATACAAAATGAGGATCATCCTGTTAGTGGCATACACAATTGTTAGTTCTTCAACATATGCTGAGTGAATTCTTTGGACAATATCTAATGATCATATCCATCTGGTGGTGGCATAAGTTGAATTGTTTACATGCATTGCTGCACAAACAACATGTAAAAGCACATTGTCTCTATGCATTACTTTTGCACATTGTACATTGCTCATGAATTGTTAGCCATCTAAACTGTATGACATTGGTATTCAGCATAACATTATTGTGTCATGTTTGCTGTTAACCACCTTGAGTCCCTATATTGCAGTGATTCCCAACCTTTTTTTTTAAAACCAGGGACCACTTTGACCAGGGACCACTCTCCAACATTAGTACTAAAAGGATTACGAATTAGTTTTTGGTCAACTTTAGATTCGGTTTGGTTATTTGGGGTGCTGATTCAGAAAACTGCATTGGATAGACCACATCAACTCTAGTTTCCGATACAGACTTATGCCATCCAGTAGTTGCCATCTGCTCCCCTACAGAAAACCATATTTAATAATCTAGAGCTGATGTGGTCTATCCAATGCAGTTTTCTGAATCGGCACCTCAAATAATCCCAGGAACAGGCCTAAAAACAAAGACACAAAGACACCAAGGCACCCCCGCTTCCAAGCACCACATGGAACAGCTCTGCTCAGGGAGAGGAAGGAAGAGGAGGAAGAGAAGCAGCAGTCAGGAGGCTTGTTGTTGCGCCTTTCGTGGGTAGTCAGCCTCTCCCCTCCTGACATCTCCTCCATTTTTCATCAAGGATAATAATAATAATAATAATAATAATAATAATAATAATAATAATAATGGAAGCAGTCTACAAACTTCTCTGCTGGTTATGCAATCTGCATCTTGGATATGGCACTTTACATTTGTGCAAGTGTGTTTTTGTGGAATGGTAGCAACCTGCTTCATAATAATTCCCCCCTTTTTCATTTTCAGAGACACAGATATGCGTGGCACCAACAGATTCTCAAACACAAAACTGTGCTCTCTGTTCCAATAGCAGAGAAGGCAATGGCAGAGAAGGTGAGAACACAGATTGTGGAAAGGGTCATTTACAGGCCTGTTTGGGCATGATCGTTGTCCGAGGGAAAATCGCTTGATCCAGTGAGTCATTCCCTCTGCCTGACTTTCAAGAAAAGTACACAGCATGCTCAAATATTTTTAGACTAAGGATGGGACAGCAGATATTGCTGAGGTAGTTTTGTTTTCCAGACTGGAGATCCTGCTCAAAGTCCAGTTCTTGCTTTATAACGGGTATTTCCCACTTGAGACCCTTTTGGGTCTGAGTCTTGTCCTATCCTGAATCTTTGTACCTAGCTAGATGAATCTTAATGTGGAGCTCTTTATGACCCCCCTCCCCCAGCTCTCTGCTCTACTTCTTTACTATGAAGTGAACCTCTTTGTCTGACTGAAAGCAATTGCGGGGTGTAGGGATAAAAGTTAGCAGCACATTTCAGAGTAAATACCAGTTGTTATAGGATGAGATGTACTGAAAAAAGGAGGTGGCACCCCCCCCCCCCAACAATTCATGGTTAAATAAATCAGCCTTACAGGTGCTGCTAGCTTTCTCCCCCCCCCCCCCCCAAACCATCTCATTTTTATGGTGAAACAGACCAACACACCTTTGTTTCTGACTGTTATCAGCTATTTATGAATATAGTAGTCAGAGGAGGCTCGATGAATTTACGGGTTTTCTTAACACTCTTCAGCCTAGGCATTGTGGCTCTGATTTATTTATTTATTTATTTATTTATTTATTTATACGCTTGTATACCGCTAATATCTCAGCCTAAGTCGGCGACTCATTGCGGTTTACAACAATTAAAAAACAGTATTCAATTTAAAACATAAAACACATATACAATACAAATTATTGGGCCACCAATAATAATCCCATGCATCTCGTAACTAAAATCACAATCCAAAATTCGTCGTCCATGATTACCAGTCCTTTAGTCATCAAAATTCGTTACAACGGATTAACCGAATGCTTGTTTAAACATCCAAGTCTTCAATCTCTTCCGAAAAACCATCAGCGAGGAGGCTGATCGTACCTCTATAGGGAGGGTGTTCCAAAGCCGAGGGGCCACCACAGAAAAGGCCCTGTCTCTCGTTCCCGCCAGCCGCACTTGTGAAGCCGGCGGGATAGAGAGCAGGGACTCTCCAGAAGATCTTAGGGTCCTGGTGGGCTGATAGGCTGAGATACGTTTGGATAGATAAGTTGGACCAGAACCGTTTAGGGCTTTTTGACCTTTTGATCTGATTGACCTCAGATGCGCAGCCAACTCAACACCTGCCCTTCTGCTTCTTTCCAGGTGCTTTGGGGCCACCAGAATGGGTGCCAGACAGTACTTGCAGCCACTGCATGGCCTGCCGCCAACCTTTCACATTTCTTCGTCGACGCCATCATTGCCGGAGTTGTGGAAAGGTACAAAATGTTATGTAGGGTTCTGTAAAGTCCTTTTCATTGGGAGAAGTCAAATCAACATAGTGGCTGGAGAGACAACAATAGTGGTCTCTGTTTTAACTATGGGCTGTTGTTTAGCCTAATTTAGCTCCTGTGGAAAACTCTACCATCTGATTTTCCAGAAGAAAATCAACCACAAATCAGTCCTGTCCATGACTGGAAATGTACTGAACATTTTGTCAGACTGTTTTGGCTGAAAACCAGCAAAAACTGGGGAGTTTAACTATTTAGCATGAGAACACTGCTGTAGGTGGTATTTTGGGCACTTTTTAAGTAGATTTCCCCCCAAAGCGACCCGAATATAAACCGAGGCACCTAATTTTACCACAAAAAAACTGGGGAAACATATTGACTCTAGTATAAGCCGAGGATGGGAAATGCAGCAGCTACTGGTAAATTTCAAAATAAAAATAGATACCAATAAAATTACATTAATTGAGGTCTCAGTAGATTAAATGTTTTTGAATATTTACATAAAACTGTGATTTAAGATAAGGCTGCCCAACTCTGATTAAACCATTATTCTAACCTTCTTCAATGTAAATGTGCTTACGTATCCTTCCAATAATAAGAATAAAATAATAAATGTAATAATAATAATAATAGAGTAAAATAATGGAAATGTAATAATAACAGTAATAATAGAGTAAAATAATAAGTGTAATAATAATAGAGTAAAATAATGGAAATGTAATAATAATAATAATAGAATAAAATAATAAATGTAATAAAAACAATAATGATAACAGAGTAAAATAATAAATCACTTTGACTCAAGTATAAGCCAAGAGGAGCTTTTTCAATCTAAAAGGCTGAAAAACTGAAAAGGGCTGAAAAAAGGGCTGAAAAACTCTAGTATATACAGTATTTGTTCTTGAGGCAGTTGATGGATTAATCAAACACAATCAAATCTACAAAAATGAAACCCACAAGTGTGGTGGGCAGACTGTATATTTTTTGTAAGAAGAGGACTAAAATGAATCTGGTTACATTCATGACAGGATCTGTACTGGGTTACACTGGATCCAAGTCTTGGTGGAGAGGCCATGCTCTTCTTTGTGTCCGAAGCAGTGTTTGCAACATCAGGTCACCCCCTTGACCCATTATTAATGCACAATTTTATTTTTCTCCAGATTTTTTGCTCCCGCTGCTCGTCACACCTGGCACCTCTGCCCCACTTCAGGCAACTGAAACCAGTCCGTGTGTGTACACACTGCTACACCACCCACTTGCCTTCTAGCAGCAAAACTATGAATTGTTCATGAGCAATAGCTTGCACACTGTGTCTTCATCAAAACACCACTTGTGCCTGAGAAAACAACAGATCATACTGGAAAGCGGCAGACGCCTGTATCACCTACAGAGGAGCAACCACACATTACTAGGATCCTCGTGGGAGCTCTTCAGAACAGGGTTTGGGGTGAAAGGGAATTCCAGGATTTAATCTCTCCTGTTTGATGCAAAGGACTCTTTGGGACTTGTTTTGGCTTGAGATAAAATGAACTACAGATGCCTGGGCAAAATCTTCGACATCTCAATGAAAGCTTGTCCCATTCTCCATTTTTCTTCGCCAGATGGAGAGAACTCTGAACTTTATAGAGATTGCCAGGTACTGGCTCCTGGGCTTCTGGTGGAGAATTGATAGTCTTCTGTCCTACAGATTTGTTTTTGAGAAACCTGTGAGACTGCATTACCAGATTTTGGTATATGTGCAGTTCGGGCTTTAGGGTGCCTTTGGCTAGAACTGAAAAGATTGCCCAGAAATAGAGCCTTGGGAATGATAGCCATAGCAATTTGCCTACCAGCTTAGGATACAGCGAAGAGTTGCAGCAGTCTTCATACACAGTGTGCTTTCTGTAGACACCAACTACTACAGGGTTGTGTGGAAGACACTTTGGAAACCTCTGAGAGAGACCTACAGTTCTTGAAACCAAATTGAATTGGTTATATTCCTGAATACTTGAATAAATGTGGTTATTATATCTAACCTATCTTCTCTGGGTTCACAACACCTGCACTTGTTGCATTGTTACACTGGTAGTTCAGAGGGAATCTGCTCTGAATTCTTCTCCAGGAAGACTATAAAACTTGTTGCCATATCGGCCAAGTGTCTCTGGGTGTGGTTTTATTGGCAGCAGCATTTGCCTTTGATCTAACTTAAACAGTAGGCCTCACTGGAAATATGAGCCAGTACAAGTTGGTTATCCTTTATTCGAAATGCTTTGCACCAGGTGTGCTATCACACCCAAACTGCTCAAATGTCTTTAGCACTAACGTGTCTTAACTTTATATCATCTTGGAGGATGCTGGTTTGCCTTCATGTTTGAGCAAGGAACCCCACAGAATCAATGTCCATGCTATTGCCTTCAAGATACAGTAACAATTTATTAATTGGTCTTGGCCCTATCTCCACCCAGTCATTATCTTGGTTTCCCCACAACAAAGGCCATACTTAAAGTTTGAAGGTAACTGGTTGTTCTTCAAGTCACTGCTAGTGGGTGATTCTGGATACGAAGGGCAGATGAAACATTCCCTTGTTTACTTTCTCTGGGGTGCCCAATGCCCAAAGTGATCAGGATGGAGGCTGAGAGAACAGACCTCTCCTATTGAGGCCTGGTACCTTGCTGAAGGTGCTGGGAACTCCACAGGCTGTCACTGCCCAGTGGTATATCGGTATAGCCACATGAGTTCCCAGAATGGTAGTTGTAGTATTACTGGCTCGAAATGGCTTGTTCAAGCCTGGTTCTCACTGGGACCAACCATAGACACATCTTGCTTCCAAGTTTCCCTGGTAGTAATAACCTTAAACTAAAGATGGCTCCCTTTTCCCGGGCAAAGGGGCGGGCCAATTTCCAATTCAAAACCAGAAAGGGTTTCCTTAAGCCCCACCCTTGTAAAACTAACAGAAAAATTGCTATTCTCAAGCTGTGGGGGGGACAGCCTAACAAAACGAGCTGGGAACTATACAGTTCAATCACACCAGGAATGTTCTGCATTTGGGATCTCTTTGTATTCTGGAGTAATTGCATATAGATGGGACCTAAAGACAAATGTTATGTTTCTCATGAAAATGACATCACAGAACGTTTTAAATAATTTTGTGTATGAAATAAATTTTGTGTACATGTAACTGTCAGAAAGCAAGGGTGTCACTATCTCAGCCATCCAAAGGGACAATTTTGAATTTTAAAAGATTTTGGATTTCGGAAATTTGGATAAAGGATAGTCAACCTGCTCTAATGTATTCATTTAGTGAATGCTTCTAAAGCAGCACAGAAATATGCACTTTTCACACTTGTGTTATCTTAGCATCATTCCAAAGCTGATATTACCGTTATTAGATGAAGAATGACATTTAGATGAAGTAGATTCCAACAAGATGCAATCAGTTACCACATCGAGCAAGGGAGAGGTGTCCTCGGTTTTCCAGGTAGCCTACAAGAATGTATGAGTTTGCACAGCAAAGGCAGAGTCCCAGAAAGGGTGGGCTGAGACAACAAATATCCCGAACTCTCTTTTCAGACCAGGAATGAAGGATAGCCCTTTGCAGAGATTGGGAGGGGAAGAGAGCAGGAGATGGAGCTTGTGTGGGCCTTGGCTGTATTGCTCACAGCTACCGTTGTTTCATAAATTATATTATTTTTATTTTGTATTTTACATTTGCAGCTACAGTAGCTGCATTAGATGGCAGGTTGTGTGGGGTGTGTGTGAGTAAACAAAGTCCACATCACACAAGACAGAACGCTGAGATGCATCTGTTATTTGAATGGGTTGCTGTGAGTTTTCCGGGTTGTATGACCATGTTCTCTCCTGACATTTCGCCCACATCTCAGAGGTTGAGAGATCATAGATGTGGGTGAAATGTCAGGAGAGAATGCTTCTGGAACATGGCTATACAGCCCAGAAAACTCACAGCAGCCCAGTGCTTCCGGCCACGAAAGCCTTCAACAACACACGTTATTTGAATGCTTTGTTGTTGAAAAAAGACCCATATAAAACCCTCATTTGAAGAGGGATGAGCAGCTCAAAGCCAAAGATTTTCTATTAAAGTGTGTCAGAGTAAGCAGGACACCTATGACAGGACACCTACTCTGTAAGACACAGAGTAAGGTGAAAGTTGGCCTAGTCCAATGCAAGACAACAGATGTAACTACAACTCCCATAATTCCATAGCACCGAACCATGGCAGTTAAAGTGGCATCAATCTGTTAGGTGAGTGGGCTTATTAACAAAAGATCCTCCTCATAAATGTACAGCAGAGTAACGTATTAGCAGCAGTGTGACTCAGCACCAGTAGCCCAAAGTGGTAAGAAGAACAAAAACACACCGACCAATGTTATATTTTCCATAGGAGGCTTTTCTTTGTAGTAAAATAATATGGTTGCATTATTTACAATGACAAGATTTCCATAACACAAATAAATACATAGTAGCTTTACACACAGCAGCCTTCACAATGGAGCTAACACAAGGCTTCTCTCACATTGAGGTTTACCTCACTCTCCTCAGGACGACACTAGCTTTGGCCAACTGACTCTAACAGGCTTTGGTCTACTCACTCCCCTCAGGACACTAGAGCTTTGGCCCACTGACTCTAACAGGCTTTGGCCTACTCACTCTCCTCAGGACGACACTAGCTTTGGGCCAATGACTCTAACAGGCTTTGGCCTACTCACTCTCAGGATGACACTAGCTTTGGCCCACTGACTCTAAGAAGCTTCGGCCTACTCACTCTTCTCAGGACGACACTAGCTCTGGCCCACTGACTCTTAAGCTTTGGCCTACTCACTCTCCTAAGGACAACACTAGCTTTGGCTCACTAACTCTAACAGGCTTCGGCCTACTCACTCTCCTCAGGACACTAGAGTTCTGGCCCACTGACTCCAACAGGCTTTGGCCTACTCACTCTCCTAAGGACAACACTAGCTTTGGCTCACTAACTCTAACAGGCTTCGGCCTACTCACTCTCCTCGGGACACTAGAGTTCTGGCCCACTGACTCCAACAGGCTTTGGCCGACTCACTCTCCTCAGGACGACACTAGCTTTGGCCAACTGACCATAACAGGCTTTGGCCTACTCACTCTCCACAAGACGACACTAGGTTTGGGTCACTAACTCTAACAGCCTTCAGCCTACTCACTCTCCTTAGGACACACTAGCTTTGACTCACGGACTCTAACAGGCTTTGGCCTACTCTTTTAGTGCTCGACTACCCTTTTGTAATCAAAAATACTCCGTTTTTAATATTTCTGACACAATTTACATTAATTCTGAATTTTAGATGCGTCCCATGCCACTGCAAAAAAAGACTAAAGGAAGAGAAACAAACAAACAAAAACACTAGCAGCACCTTTAAGACGAACTGATGCTTTATTTTAAGCATGAGTTTTCATGGATATTATGAGGGTTGAATGAAAAGTAATGCCTCCACCTTCGTTACTTGGGTTTGGATGAGAATATTTTAATAAACCTAACGCAGAAATAATCCTTAGAATATGCTCTTTAACTTGCTTGAAATTTCTCTCTGAGTGATATGACGATTGTCCTGAATCAATCTGTCAACCTTTTGCTTGGGAAACACAGTGGTTGCTGTCAAAGGATGTCCAACTCTTTGTTTGTCATGAGAGTCAGATGTTCCCACTTCAGCGTCTTTACACTTACTTGCCCAATGAAGCACAGTACTCACATCAACAGAATCACCATAAACAGCTTGCATTCTCTGGTGAATCTCCTTTGGGGTGACACCTTCTGCTGTCAAGAATTCCGTTTCTGCACATTGCTTAAGTTGCATTGCCCGACCATCTGCCCAGGATTCCATATTTCGCACTTTAACAATACATCCGTTCAATGCTATGGCTTCCTGCCAAATTGGAACTGTAGAGGAGATTCTACTGAACAAGCCAGTACCTGCCACATACCAGTACTGCCATCTGTTTTGTTTTGGTTTTTTTTTTTTGTTGTGTCAGGAGCGACTTGAGAAACTGCAAGTCACTCCTGTTGTGAGAGAATTGGCCGTCTGCAAGGATGTTGCCCAGGGGACGCCTGGATGATTTGATGATTTTATCATCCTTGTAGGAGGCTTCTCTCATGTCCCCACATGAGGAGCTGGAACTGATAGAGGGAGCTCATCTGCCTCTCCCCGGATTCGAACCTGTGACCTGTCGGTCTTCAGTCCTGCCGGCACAGAGCTTTACCCCACTGCGCCACCGGGGGCTCCACTGCCATCTGTTGAGAAGTTACAAAGGTGGAGGCATTACTTTTCATTCAACCCTCGTAGTTCGCAAGGATTGAGAAGCGCTGAACGCAATGCCCTTGTCCCCGCCCCAATAAAACCCCCTCGATCCCAAGGACAGCCCCCAATTCAAATTGCTCTTTTTTCCCGCCCGAATTTTGTTTTGAAAGTCCTCTGACGTAGAAAGGTCGGCTCACGTTTTCCAGCCAATAAGAGCGCCGGGTTCCCTGGCCCCGCCCAGCGCAGGTTGAAATTCAAAACAACGCAGCGAGCGCGCTCAAGAGGCGTCGGGGGAGGAAGAGGAGGAGGGGGCGGCGGGCTGGGAAGACACCCCGGAGGCAAAAGGGAAAGGGCCCCTCTTCTCGCCTGGGCGGAATCCGGAAGGAACGCAGAAGTTGCGGCGAGGATGGAGCCCGGGAGCGTTCGAAAGGGGCGGGGACAGAACCTAGGAGCGTTCGAAGGGGGCGGGGCTGAGCCCGGGTTGGCTGCCGAAGGCGCCCGTGGGTCGGTTGCAGCGTCGGCGTAACAAAGTCCCGGTTCGGATCGAGCCTCCCATGCTGGTTGTCATGGAGCTCGTCGCTAGCAACATTCAGGTGCTGCTGCAGGCGGCCGAGTACCTGGAGCGCAGGGAAAGAGGTAGCGGGGGAAAGCCTTCGCGAGGGTCCCCTGGACGGATCAGCGGGGATTTGGGGGGGTGTTAAAGGGGAGGCGGCGGTGGCGGTGGCGATCTCGTTTGGCCGACAGTTATGGTGCTTCCTCCCGTAGAAGCCGAGCATGGCTATGCTTCCCTTTCGCCTCGCAGTGGGCAGGACGCGCGCCAGTCGCGGAGGAGGCCGAAGCCTCGGAAGGCCGTCAAAAGCCTCAGGTGAGAGACACTCGCACAACAATGGGGCCTGCCTTCAGGGAGAGAGGTTGGTTGGCCTTGCTCAGAGGGAGGCTTCCCTTGGCTCCCAAACTTGAGTCCTCCAGGACTTCAGCTCCCAGGAGTGGCAACCAACCCACTTGGCCCAGGCAGGAAAGGGCTCCTGGGAGGACCAGAGACTGGGAAGTGTTGCTGGAGGACTCAACCACAACAACAACAACAAAACTTGAATTTTATACCACTCTATCTCCCCGAGGGGACTCAAAGCGGTTTCCAAGTAACATCATCAATATATACAGAGTAAACAACATAAACATAAAATTAACAAAACAATATAAGCATTAAGAAACCACAATACCACATATATATTTAAAATAATCCTACCTGTTCAAGGCAGTTTAAAAAGACGGAGCCAAGCCTGGCCCAAATTACCTGTCCGAACGCATCTCCTCCTATGAACCATCACAGAGATTAAGATCCTCCAGGGAGGCCCTGCTTTCCGTCCCGCCATTGTCACAGGCACAATTGGGATGAGAGACAGGGCCTTCTCGGTGATAGCTCCCCGGCTATGGAACTCCCTTCCTGGTGAGATCAGGTCACCCCCCTCCCTCCTGTCCTTTAGAAGGATGGTAAAAACTTGGCTGTGGGACCAAGCTTTTGGGACAGGGCAATGAAGCGGCTGTGGGAAAGATGACAGGGCCAGTTGGATTTGATGCGGATGGTTAGGACGGTTTTAAATTGTGTATTTAAATATTTTGATAAATGTTTTTTAATGTTTATGTATTGTATGTGAATCTGTGTCCCGGCATTGAATGTTTGCTGTGTATATCCTGTGCTCCGCCCTGAGGCCCCTTCGGGGTGAGAAGGGTGGAATAGAAATGTTTAAAATAAATAAATAAATAGTGCAATTTCTAGAGGGCCCGGGAAATTAGGAGCAATGCTATAGCAGGCAACAACAGTAATAGGTATAGTCTATGGCTGTTCATTTCCGGGGCCTAACAGGAGGAAGTGACCTGGATAAGTGGTAGAAAAAGA